CACTTACATCTCTGCTTATAGTATTTGGTGATTTTTTTTTTTTACTGTTACAGTTTTGGGCTTTGCTACCCTGGATGTGACCTCATGACATGGTTTTCTGGTCTTCAGCCCGCAAAACAGCGTAGAACAGAAATTCTTAAGGAAAGACTTAATAACATGCATAGATATAAATGTTTTTAACCTGAAATGAACTTTAAAAATAGCTTCTTTGGGTACACATTCCATAAAGAAAAAAACAATGTTTTCATTATTTTTTTCTGATGGTTCTCAAATCCAGTAATCTGAAATTATTGTAAATTCTTTTCTCTGGGAGGTAATAATAACCACACACCATTGACTGCAGTAGCAAACAGAGGCGGCCCGGCTTTCAATACTGTGGTTAGTGCAGCACGTTGGAGCAGACGGGTTGAACCCGGGGTGTCCTCACCTGGTACCTGGGCTGGGAGGCTGGAACCCCAGGGCGGCCCAGATCATTCTTCTCTCTCCAGGTGTGTGGGAGGCTGAGGCAGGTGGCATCACAGCTGATGCTTCATGCTCCGGAAGGGAGTTTTCTGGGGGACCAGAAGCACAGACTGCCAGGGGTTCACGAGATCTGGGTCCAGAGTTGGCACAGCATCGCTTCTGCCTTCTTCTTGGGGTCAGAGTAGCCTTGGAGCCCACCCAGACTCGAGGGGAAGTGGGAGAGGACCGAGGTTTCTCCACTGCCTCCAGCCCGCCACGCTGTCCCATGCCTGGGAGCCTTCCTTGAGACCGTCTCGGGAAATGCTGATGCCCAGGCCCAGAAACACTGACTTCCTCGGTCCAGGGTGTGGCCTGGAAACATGCTGTGTTTTTAAAGTTTATTTCTTTATTTTGCGAGAGACAGAGAGCACGAGTGGGGGAAGAGCGGAGAGAAGAGAGAGAGAGAATCCCAAGCAGGCTCCACACTGCCAGCGCAGAGCCCCATGTGGAGCTCAAACCCATGAAGCCGTGAGATCATGACCTGAGCCGAAACCAAGAGTTGGATGCTTAACTGACTGAGCCACCCAGGCGCCCCAGAGCAGGTATACTTTCAGTGGTTCTAAAGTATGGCCAAGGTTAGGAGCTGCTGTTTGGACTGAATAGAAGTAGGTGTTTGGTATAGAAGCTGATGCACATAGTAAGGCGTCCCTAAATCCTTTGGGAGGTAGCCAGCTGCTGGCCAGGGCACGAATTGTTGGTGATGACTTTCAGACCCAGATGGTCTGTATGCCACAGGGGCTGCAGAGGGACATTCGTTTAGGGACCGTCGCTGCCCGGGCTCTGCGGCAGCGCCGGGGCGGGGGGGTGGGTGCTGCACACTCGCACTGAGTGTGTCATAGACGCGCGCACGTGGCTTCGCCCTGACCATGACCATGAGTCCTGATTGGGCGGGCTGGGTAAACCACGCCCCGGGAAGATCCGGCTCTTGCAGTGAGGAGGGGGGGCCGAACAGCCTCTGTGCAGCCCCCAGATCCTGTGGGGTGTCGGGGCGAGGCGGGGTGCCGTCCCGCGTCATCACTACAGTTGGACACAGGAGACCTGGTTCAGAATGTTCTTAGCGCTGCACGAAAATGAGCCTTGGATCCGTGGGAGGGGACGGTCTACACACACCAAGGTAGCGGGGGCGCTCCTGCCGCATCGTGGGCGAATCTCTCGGGCGGGTGTCTAACCAGAGACCGCAGGCGCAGGTGGGGGATTCCAACCTGCAGAACTGCTTTCCGCCCCGCCGATGATGTAGGCGGACGAGGTCTATAAAGAAGTGGGGAAGCCGTGACCACAGAAGCATTTTGGTTATGTTCGGAGGGAATTGGGACCCTGAGCGGGAAGGACGCACGGAGACGTCGCTGGAGAGTACTTTTCAGTGTCTCCTTGAGGAGGACCCCGCAGGGTGACCTTTCTAGGCCAGGGGAGGGGCCGGCTTTGCCTCCCTGGGTCAGCCCCTAGCCTCCCAAGCTGTGTCCTGCCCTCTCCCACGGTGACAGGTACACCCCTGCGTTCAGGCCTTTCCTGGCCTTTCTGCAGGGACTTTGTGCACCGTTTTTTCAGGAACCTTCTGGAAAGAACGTCCAGTGCCCCTGGCACAGGTGCACCAGAGGAAGAGCGGGGCATCTTCCCTAGTAGGCGAAGGGGGGGCCAGGAATGAGGCCCGGGATCCTGGAGAGGCCCGTTCTGACATGCATCGAACCCAAAGCCTGCCGGGGCAGCCCAGGGTTCTGGACCTGCTTATTTGGCTGAGCTGTAGCTGCTGTTTTGGAATAGGGGCTGGGGGCAGGGTGGTGGATGCGTGGAAAGAGCGAAGGAGCCCGTAACCAAGGCCTTGATCCCAGCGAGTTGCCGAGGAAGCGTGGAATTGGAATGCCTTACGAAGACCGGACACGGCTGCCTCTCCTGCACCGTTGGTACGTGAGGCACATCTCAGCGTTCATCAGCAAGCGGCTGGGTTGGTAAAGGACACTGGCAGGAAAGGAGGGAGGTGGCTCGCGGGCCCCCTTCCATTCCTGCTGCTTCCAGACCGGCTGGGCCGTGGTCCGCAGGGTCCCCGTCGGGCATCGACGCTGCCTCTGGCCCGCTGCCCCCGGCCCACCCGTCCGCATGACGTCTACGCTCCCAGACACGAGGCCGGGCGCATTCTTGTGCTGGGGTGGAAAAGCAATCATTCCCTGGCAGAGGGCTTGGCCAGGTTATAAAGTGGCCTCCCGTGAGCAGAGCCCGCGCTATCGGGTTTTATTAGGGCTGTGCTTGTCTTGAGCCCCGCGGGAGTCAGAGCCGAGGCTCCAGTGAAACCTTTAGGTAAACTTCAGAGCCACACCTTCCTTCGATTCAGGATTCGACAAACGTTTGTCTCAGCTTTAAAATCGCAAGGGCTTCCACTTGGGGATCTGTACCCTTTGAGGAGGCTTTAAAAACTTGGTTCCACTTCAGGTTTTTGCCTTTGGAATTTTAAGGGGCGCCTGGGTGGCTCAGTCGGTTAAGCGTCCGACTTGGGCTCAGGGCATGATCTCACAGTGCGTGGGTTCCAGCCCCGCGTCGGGCTCTGTGCTGATGGCTCAGAGCCCGGAGCCTACTTTGGATTCTGTGTCTCCCTCTCTCTGCCCCTCCTGTGCTCAAGCTCTGTCTCTCAAAAATAAATAAACGTAAAAAAAAAAAAAAATT